TCTCTCTCTCTCTCTCTCTCTCTCGATTAAATAACTAAATATATATTTAAAAATGATGTTGATAGATCTATGCCCAGCCAATTGATTGTCTATTACGATGGACTCGACAGAAGAACCCTTAGGGTCAGAAACAATGTTATAAAAATACAGGTCCACGAGCTCTGGGATGCAGAAACTTTTGATTATGATTACTGTGTGCTAACACTGGAAACCGATATCGTTCAGTCGCCCACCGTTCAGACTGTAGAGCTGGCCACCAGTGCTCCAACACAGGGCACAACAGCTCAACTGACTGGTTGGGGTAAGACATCGGGCACATCTAGCACTTTACCTTATCTACTACAGTACACCATCATGGACATTGTTTCCTGGGAAGTATGTAAAAATTTATGGGAACCGGCGGGTCATATGTTAACAGACCGTATGATTTGTGCCTCACATCCAACGGCAAGTGGTTGTAACGTAAGTCGTCTCTCTCTCTCTCTCTCTCTCTCTCTTTAAAATATTGTAATTTTATATGTAATTTGTACAATAGGGTGATTCTGGTGGACCTTTAGTAGTTGATGGCAAATTGGTAGGTATTTTATTTTGGTATGGTAAAAATTGTCCGGCAAACACTGTTGAGTGGCCCAACTTCTACGCCGATGTGGCCAATCAATGGCAATGGCTCAGCGATCGCATTACTAAATGAACATGTTTATTTGTAATTATTTTATTATTACAAATATACAATTCGCTTAACAACTTGTTGTATTAAAACTTGTTTATTATATAAACATATTATTTGATATTTGTTAAATAATTTTCTGATACTTCAACTTATTATACTTATTCAACTTATTGTAACTTAGAACTTACAAATTAATTTTAAAAAGTGTACAATAAATTAGCAACAATTAATTTAATGCAATAACAAATATACAATAAAATATTTATTACGATGTTTTTAATGGATAAATACTAATTAATAATTATTACTCTAACAATAAAATAATTCATTATTTAACAATTATTTTTCTTAGAATACATAATCATTTCATATTATATTTTATGAAAATTTATTTAAATTAAAAGTCAATTTACAACTCATTAAATATACAGTATTAACAACAATATGAAAATTGCAATAATACTGTTGATTGGACTCGAGCTAGTGGCCCAAATTGCTCACGCTTACATAGCAATCTCACCAAGGTATAATAATGGTAGAATTGTTGGCGGAACTGACGCTAAGGCCGACCAGGCTCCATTTCAAGTATCAATAGTGCTCTATACCGGTTGGTTTGATTATTTGCATATTTGCGGCGGTTCACTGGCCGGCCGTCGGTCAGTAGTGACGGCCGCCCACTGTTGTGATGGGTATATATTTAATACATTATTATTTGTGTATTATGGTTTTTTTGTTTGAATAAGCATGATTACCGTATAAACTATAGTCAATTTATTTATGCAGCTATCACGCATCAGATTTAGAGGCCAGATATGACGGCCTTGACTTTGTGACCCTTAAGACCATAAACAAGGTGACAAAAATTGATATCCACGAGGGCTTTAATTCCCAGACCCATGACTGGGACTACTGTGTGCTAACACTACGAGACGATGTCGTTAAGTCACCCACCGTTCAGACCATCGAATTGGCCACTAGTGTTCCGCTAACCGGTTCTGCCGCTCATCTGACAGGTTGGGGTAGAATACCTGTAACATCTGCCAAAGCATTGCTCCAGTACACACCCATGGTCATAGTTTCACGGCAACAGTGTAATGAGATATGGGAACCGGCGTGTCAGACGGTTACAGAACGTATGATTTGCGCATCAAACCCGTCAGCCGGTGGTTGTAGTGTAAGTACTATCTCTCTCTCTCTCTCTCTCTCTCTCTCTCTCTCCAATTTAAATTACAATTTGCAAATAGGGTGATGTGGGTAATCCCTTAGTAGCTGATGGCAGATTAGTCGGTATTTTATCATGGTATGGTAAAGATTGTCCGGCAAACACTGTTGAGTGGCCCAACTTGTACTCCGATGTGGCCAATCAATGGCAATGGCTCGACGATCGCATTGCTAAATAAACATGATTATTTGTGAATTAAATAAAGTAAATTATTCTTTTCAATTAAATAAATTAAAATATTTTTAAGCATTAAGAATTGTTTAAAATATTAATGATGAACATTTTATTATGAATATTTATCTGTAAACAAAAATTTTATTTTGTAATATAATTATATTCAATATTTTTATGATTTGTTCATTGTTTATCCATTGGATCTTTCTCTCTCTCTCTCTCTCTCTCTCTCTCTCTCTCT